GCCTTGGGCGCTATCTGCAGCTCTGATAAAGTGATGAAGTGTCGGCAATGCCAGTACTCGAGCGAGTTCAGCCGAGATGCTGCAACAATGGCCAATGGACAACGATGTCTGGCGCTGCATAACCCAGCGCCACACGCGTGGATCGCAAGTGACTTGAACCCCGACCTACAAGCTAACGGTTAACGTGTCTGCGTGAACACTTTGAGGCCATCTGAGTTGGCTGGGGGCACAGGCAGGGCACGAAGCTTCCGATCTGATTAAGCAGGGCGATGAGCGCGACTGACCTGCGCCCAACTTGCCGATCTGTCACGCGCACATGTGCGCATCCCCGCCAAAACGAAGTCCACACGCAGTAGGCACCTGATGTAGGTGCTTTTGCCGCCCATGTTCGGCCCCGTGATGAGGTGCAATCGCGACCTACGTTGGCTGCAAGCCCCTTTCAAAGCACCAAAATGCAGAATTAAAGAGAAGCGCCGTAAAGTTCTGATGGACCCAAAAAACAGATTCTGCCTTTGGGCGTCTGGCTTAGAGCTACGTGAGCGCAGGCTACATCCATCTACATCCAGAGTTGCTCCGGCTCCTTGAGTTACAGCGCAAGCGCTGGACAAAAAATCATTGGAGAAGAAGATTTGCCAACCAGATAGGTTGCAACTGCGCTTGTTGCTAAGAAATTGAGGCTCGTCAGGCGGAAAGGAACGGTGGAATAGAAGTTGCGCCCTGAGAACTGTGCCAACTGCTCTTGGTTGCAGGGTCTGAAAAGACATTTTGATTTGAACCCAGCCCCGCCCGGCAAACTTGCAGACCTCTTAGCTAAGAAATAAAGGCATTGCAAGCAACGCACAATTGCAGCTTCCCAAATCGACAAGGTTGAAACAAAATTGCTAAGACATTCAAACTCAAATCTGCTCCAAAGGTCGAGAAGCCAGCGCCGGTTGCTGAGGTCCCTGCGAGTCACGGTGCATCGACAGGTCGTTTGCCACAAAGCTCTGACTGGGCGATGGCAGCGTGACAGCCCAAATAGGAAGGTCCAATAGGGTGGTCCAAATTCAGGTCAAAGAGAAAACAGTGGCAACATGTTGCAACCTTGCCCAACAAGGCTCGCAGAATCTCGCACGCATTTGCAACGCGATGTCTGGAAAACGTCAGCCAGGCATCTCGCTTGGAGTTTGCCACCACCAGCAAGTGCACTGCTCCATCAATGACGCATTCCCGGCCTCCGCGCAAATGCGTAAGCATCTCGGCGGCGCAAATCATGCTCATGCAACAGGCCTGACTCATCCAACTTGGGCCTCACGAACTGGCATGGCCTGGGCGGCCCCGACCACTGCACCATCTGCAGCAGGGTAACAGCGCCACAAACGCGATTGAACTGCAAGGGGCAACGCGCTCGTTGAAACCGTTCGCACGAAGACCTTGTTGACACCAGACATCAACGCGCGATTCAGCAAAACCTTAAAGAGACGTAGTGATTCTCCGCATAGAGCTATAGAAATGGAAGAGCGCGGGACGAACTCTCACGTACAACAAGCAACACCCTGCAAGGCCCAACAAGTCGAGGCCCTCTCTTGCGCCACAACATAGCTACAGTGGCATCTGACTCTCATCCTTTCTTCTCAACGCATTGGCCCCAGCCACCCCCGACCCCCCTTGCAACCAAAGGAGCGCCGTGAGCGCCACCCGCGCGAGCGAGCACAGCACATCCAGTTCTGCCACCACATCTGCCAAGCGCTCTGCCACCGAGCTGTAGGTAGAGGCAACCTTCAGGGCCTTGGTCGTCAGCCTGCCGTGAAGGCGAGCAGGCGCCCCGCGCAATTTTGATCCGAGGCGCCGAGCTGCGGTGGGAAAACCCAGGAAGTGCAATGGATGCCATGAGTTTGCCACAACACACATACGCAACCGGACAACCACACAAACACACAACCACAAAAAACACAAAACAACACAAGCGCACAGTCACAACGCAACACACAAACACACGACCACACACGACCACACCAACACACCAACACACGACCACACCAACACACCAACACACCAGCACACAAACACAAAAACACACAAGCACGCTACCACACACAACGCTACCACACACAACGCTACCACACACAAACACACACACACAAACACACACACACACACAAACACACACACACACAAACACACACACACACACACACACCACACACACACACACACACACACACACACACACACACAAACACAAACACAAACACAAACACAAACACAAACACAAACACAAACACAAACACAAACACAAACACAAACACAAACACAAACACAAACACAAACACAAACACAAACACCAAAACAAACACAAACACAAACACAAACACAAACACAAACACAAACACAAACACAAACACAAACACAAACACAACACAAACACAAACACAAACACAAACACAAACACAAACACAAACACAAACACAAACACAAACACAAACACAAACACAAACACAAACACAAACACAAAACACAAACACAAACACAAACACAAACACAAACACAAACACAAACACAAACACAAACACAAACACGAACACGAACACAAACACAAACACAAACACAAACACAAACACAAACACAAACACAAACACAAACACAAACACAAACACAAACACAAACACAAACACAACACACAAACACAAACACAAACACAAACACAAACACAAACACAAACACAAACACAAACGCAAACGCAAACGCAAACGCAAACACAAACACAAACACAAACACAAACACAAACACAAACACAAACACAAACACAAACACAAACACAAACACAAACACAAACACAAACACAAACACAAACACAAACACAAACACAAACACAAACACAAACACAAAAACAAACACAAACACAAAAACAAACACAAACACAAACACAAAAACAAACACAAACACAAACAAAAACACAAACACAAACACAAACACAAACACAAACAC